GCTGGCTAAAGCCTTGAGCAACCTGCTCTGGTGGGAGGTGTCCCTGCCCAGGGCAGGGGGTTGGCACTGGATGTTCTCTAAACTCCATTCCAGCCCCTTAACTCATGATAATCCCAGATTGGTTTGAGTTGGAAGGACCTTTAAGCTCATCCAGTGCTAACCCCTCCCATGTGCAGGGACACCTTCTACTACCCTAGGTCGCTCAGCTATAGGAGAAACAAGTGTCTCTTCTATCTTTACAGCAGTTTTATGTACACAGTTTGTTTCAGCTACAAGATAACCCATTTATTTCCTTGACAGCCACAGGAACGTGATGGAGAAGGAACACTTGGCAGCTCAGAGGGAGACCTTGCTCAGACCAGTGGTGACTACCCCAAAACAAAGGCAGAAACAAACTGTCCTGCAGCTGCCAGGGTCGAGGCAGAACATGCAGCACAAACCAACACAAGTCCCACAGCTGAAACAATAGCCAAAGTAGGGTGCAGTTCCCACCATTGTTTGCAGCATGAACCTCCTGACACCAGTTCAGAGATCCCTGGGAAAGAGGATCCAGGTTTAAAAAGTGCTGTGGCAGCAGGAGCTGGAAAACAAGGAGCAGCTGTGCTGGGGAAGCAGGATGGGGAGGAGGTGGGAGCCCCAGGGCTGGGCAGCAGGGCAGGCTCCCCTGTCCTGCAGGAGCTGGACCCTTCGGACGGGAGCGTGCGGATCCTCAGGGACCATGTCACGCGCTGCCCTGTCGTCTTCGACAACTCTCTGCTCTATGACTTGGACTAGTTTAACTATTTTAGGGTTTCCTCCTGTTGTTTCATACTTGCTGCCACTTCCCTGCGCTGCTGGATGACTCCAGGGCTCGCAGCAGGACATGGATTCCCAATGAAACAGGTTCAAACATCAAACCTTTATGTTGTGAACGGGTTTTGTTGTTAATAGATGTGTTTTCTAATCACATGTCTGGGCTGAAATGGTTTTATTACAACAGAGATGCAATTGAAGATGAATCTAAGCTCCTGGAAGAAAATCTCTCTTTATTGTTTACAAAACTAACTTGTTCTCCAGCCACATTTCAGGGATTATTTGTATCTATCCCTGTTCTAATGGCTCCCTTGGGAACTGAGCAGGATTCATCATTCCCCAAACCTTTCATTTGATGCTAACTGCAGGATTAGACTCACAGTGATTTTTAGCAATCAAATGAATTTTCTAATTACACAGAGAAGTTCTAATTATGCTCCTAGAAATAATCAACACTTACACCCTGTATTCCATCCTAGTGCTGCGCTGCAGATCCAGAGCATCCAGACATCCCCTGCTCTGTCAGCTGAACAAATTCCACTGCACAACAACATCCTCTCCTGCTGCTCGTCTGCTGCAGAGTATTTACAGTTTGTGAAGTGGATTCACTTCAGATTAGGTTTATTTTTGTTCAGATTAGGTTTATTTTTCACAGTTTCCCTCGAGTTTCAGCTCGTGGTTCTCCTCTCCAAAGCACAATAACCAAAACATGAGAGCTAACAAG